ATATATAGTAATTTGTTTGTCCAATGAAAACTAAAATAAATTGGACTAATCCTCACCAACTTCACAGAGACTGGCCTTATTAAATAGCCCTTCATGCATAAAAGTATTATACTATTAATTACTGTGATCATGTAGGATTTTTGTGTATGGGAGTATTGGCATGGATGATATTATGAAGATTTTTCAACCTTACCAAAACGATAACAAATACGGATACGTCTTTACCATTATCATCATTCGTGCGTAAAAAAATTCTTGAAAATATGCTGTACGGGCTGAATATGCAAAAGGCATGAATTGCCTACTTTATGACAGATATTCTACTGTAGGGAAAGGGGTGTTGTAGAAATTGATGACGTAACCATATTCGTTATCATTTTCGTAAGCTTACGAAAACTCCCTAATGACGAGGGAGGTGCTAATTTGGAGATATGAGGAAATAATTAACTAAATGAGTGTAACTTTATTCCTAAGCATGTTTTCAATAGGAGTGCAGATCTTTTTCTGATGCTTTCTCCCTTTAGATAGTCATGTGTTCATTGAATGACACAAGCTTTCTTGCACGATTGAGAGCACTTTATACACCAGTTGAAATAAACTGTAAGCACTAAAAGTTTGTGTTCATTCTTAAGTGATGCTTGTTTCTAAACTAATAATGTAGTATAGTGTTTTACAAATTGTTTATCGAATAACAGTGAGACCCACTAGCTATAGTTTGTTATTTTAGAGACACCAAAAGCAATATACTTTATACAATACTGTACTTTTACATAAACTTTTTGAATAAGTTTAATATTTGTAATATATCATAGCACAAAAAAAAACAAAAACAAGCATTTGTTCATAAAAAATTGTAAAATTGGAATCGAATATAAATATAGGACACTTGTATAATAATATAGTATCAGCACATTTTTTTAAATTTCTGGACAAATGAAAAGAGCACCATTCCTTAACTTTCTATACCAACCGTAAATGACCAAATAAGCTTCCGTGTAATATATATATATTATTCAAAATAAATAAAAATATACATATATCTCTAATTAAAGCAACAAGGCACATATTCCAAAGTGATGCTTTGAAAATAAAATCAATATTTGGTGTAGCACGTATTCAAGAACTTCAGGTTCATCTTATTTGATCATTTACAGTATACCACATCATTATATTCTATATATATGTTCAAATGACTAACAATAAGTCATTAAACTTCATTTCGACTCTACCAGCAATCTATGTAATGAGGACACTGTCTATTATTTAATATTGTGTAAATTAATTATTTAATTGGACTTAAAGGAGTGATTTGGCACAGACATGGTTGCGGTTTTTCTCATCCTTGAGGTCGGAGGTTGTTTGTGTCCTTAGGCAAGGCACTTTGCCTACGGTTATCCCTGTCCACCTAGGAGTAGAAATAAGTACCTGGTAGGTACAAACACAAATGCGCAGATTACAGCTGCAACATTACAGAATTCTCCCTATTGCCCCCCTTACTGGATCCGTCCCTGCAAATTCATAACTACTGTATATGGTAATAACCAGAATAGAAACCACTGTGCTAAACAACCTTTCTGCACTAGGCACAGCTCAGCTATTACAAGCAGTAAATAAATTCTCGTCTAAAGTATGTATGCCAATCACAAAATTTGAAACATGCAAGACAATAAACATTAAAGGTGAGATACTACTGTACCATGTATAGCAGATATATACATATCTAAACTATACATTTTTTTGCAAGCTTTTTTTTATTAAGACACTAGTAAATGTTATTGTATGTATTCTTCTATAGTATTTATAGATAATGGAAGATTGAAACAGCCATACTGAATCAGCTTCTAAGGCTTTATTTGGCAAGTCGCAGCTTTTAGAGTTATTTATTTACAATGGAACCAAATAAAATAGTTACAGAATAACACTAATGTATTGCTCCCTACATTTGCATCCTACAGTAGGTGCATTCTTGGATGGACTATAAACTATAGGGCCGGTGTATTTTAAAGAACCCAGTACATCTTTCAAGATGAGCAGGGGGTTACCTCAGCATGCTGGTCCATTCAGCCCCTATTGCAGATAGACAAAGAATAGCTGGGAAGCTCAGACAGGAATAGGCTCATAAGGGAGAAGAGTTTAATGTAAGAGCTAGTCTACACCTCGAGGGATCATTTCATTATATAGCACTATGTACATAGCTTGTATGATTGTTGATACAAGTGATTGTAAATTAGGTTTACTGTCTAACCATGAAGTTGCATATCTGCCTTGATTAATTTTTGCTGCACAAGACTTTTACATGCTTTTACAGATTTGAACAGCCGGCCCCTATCGACGCATCTGGAAAAAAAACAACATTTTTTTAATCAAATAAGTAATTAAACCAGCTATTAAAAACTTGTGTATAAACTTAAATGATTAATGCAACAAATTAAATTAATAAATAAATCCACCAGAATAGATCATTTATATCCATTGTAGCCTACGAGAAGTGAATTATTTATAACAAAATCATTAAAAGAACATAGTGTGTAAATGGATATGCACTGTAGTAATGGGTGATAAACATCAAGAAAGGCAAACTGACATAGTGGCAGTCTCTACTCAAATGTATGTATTTCACAAAACAAGATATTTGTTACTGTAAGTACAGTAGTTCAATTTAAATTCAAAGTTTAATGCAACGTAATTGTAAATTGGCAATCCTGTATATGGTTGTATTCAGGACAGTGGCATCGAGAGCCGGTAAGGACCCCGGGGTATCACCTCACTTGGGCCCTTCCCCCCCTTTTTCATCTTGGTCCGGACCCCCCAGTAGACCCGGGGCAGCGACCCCCCTGACCCCCTCTCGATGCCACTGATTCAGGACTCTTGCTGCTAATGCTCTTTATACCTGATGATGTGCTAGTAATTAATAATAAAAATCAGTTTGCCTGATGACAAGATTCTACAATTTCTCTTACCTAGTAGAATGGTAATAACATCATTAAAATGAAGCAGGCTTGGTTATAAGTTGTAACCATCACTTCCAGTAGCTCATTGTCTGAAATGATGCCTGCCTGGACCAGGTACAGCACCCACTGGTAGTACCTGTAAAACATGAGCATAAAAAGAAAATATTAAGGCAAGACTTGTTTATACCTTGTTTCATAACCTTATTTTTTTTAAAAGATCACAGAGGAGAGTCGGAAAAAAATAAAAATTTAATCTTTGTTTTTGATTTAGCAAATAGTTTTGCCAAAAACATCCAGATGGAAGAGAAAATAAAAATAAAATTTTATTGTTGAATGTAAACAGTGTAGTAATGGGATGGTTAAATGCTTTAAATCTATATAATTAGGAAGAAATATACACATCTTGCTTTTGGAGATTTCAACGCAGCAGCAGGCATAATAAAAAAATAAAGAAAATCGTCTATTTTCTTCTGAAATTTCCATTTTTTTTTTGTGTCGGTAGGTGAAAGCAAGGTAAAGCAACCTTTATAAAAGTTTCAAGCTCTAGTACTGGAATGGATTAGTATTATTAAACAGTTTTAAGCAGGTCTTAACTCATTTTATTCGACTCTATCACATTAATGGTCTTACAGTATGATAGTCACCCTCTTAAAGCCACATTTACACTAGACACGATTATGACACAACGACAACGTATCATCGCATAGTTTGTATTCTTGAACACTGCGCGCATCTGTATCGTGTCTTAATTGTGTCTAGTGTAAATGTGGCTTTAGACCTCTGTAATACAGCGGTCCCAAATTGAAATAAGTCACTTGCAAGACATCTGTTTTTAGTGACCCTTTTAACGCATCTAATTTTATTTTGCTGGGCACAGTGATCCATAGGCACTGGCTTCCGTAAGACAAATATTGAAAATACAGTAATAAAAATATTATGAATTTGTGAAAGTTGGGTTATTTTTCATAAGATTCTTGCTTGCCTATGGGAGTGAGGGAAGCTGTCCTGGTTACCGGGTGACTTCCAAGAGCCTTGGACCCATGGCTAAGCAATCATCTTCCCTTTATGACTGTATACAAGCATCAATCGCCCCATAGCATTATGTGACATTTTTTAATGCACATTTGTACAAAAAGCAAATTGTATTGACACTGACAAAAAATAAGACTTGTTTTTATACATCTTAATATGAGGATTTAATTGGACAAAGAACAATACTTACCAAATTAATATCAAAATAAGGCAAAGATACAGCAGAATTAATTTTAAATACTGGTTGTATCTTTCATCATCATCCCTTCCTCCTCCATTTCCATTTCCCCTTCCAAATCCACCAGCTCCACCACCAGCCCCAATGAAAACACCTACATTGCCACCACCAGCGCCAATTGCCAGTTCTGCATCACCTCGATCTTCAACTTGAACAGCGTACTAGATAAACATGTCAAGCATTAATTTTATTTAATTTGAGCTATCTAAAATAAAATCAACTTTAATAGTTCAAAGCACTGAAAATTCACCTTCCTTATCCATGGGTTATTGCATGTGAGATGTAACTCATGATAATTCTGAAGAATTATTTCCATTGGGGTCCTTCTGGTGGTGATTACCGTAAGCAGCACACTGGGAGACAATCCCCTACTCTTCTGAATAGTAGTGTATTGAGCTTTACACTGTCCTAGGAGCTGTGTGGCTTTCTGAGACAGGGGCCCTTTTTGGTTACCAGTCGGCAATTCCTTTTTGAATGAAAAAAAGATTATATAAGGACATTATGAATGGTGGTTAGAAAAGATATCGTCCAGAGAATATGGCTCATAACAAGAATGCGTGAATATTTACATAACAGCAAAATAGCAGATGTAATTAGTGGTGGGTAGTGGTTAGCTTGTTGGCCATCGGCCGATTGAGATTAGCAGGATGGCAGGATCATTGTATTTTTCTTGAAAACTCATGAGAATGTGCTTAAGGTCGAAAAAAGAAAAAAAGGAGTAGGACTAGACATAGACAAATATGTAAAAAGATTGAAAAAAAAATTGGAAATATTCTGTCTGTACAGGGATCAGAGCTCTCATCTGTCCAACAGAAATATCCTTATTTTAATATTGACTTAAGAAGAGTGTTTCCACTCTACAGCTCAAATCATGCCAACAACCACAGTCCCAGGATTGATTGCATTATTGACTTGCTAAAAAGAAAATCTTATGAGGGGGCGCTTATTCAAACGGGGCGCTTAAGGAAATTTTCACGTCAGCGCTTATTCGAGAGGGGCGCTTATTCGCGCGAGTACGGTACCTGCAATTACGAACGGCTCTTCTGGGCTTATGCCGTACGTAATTGAGGTGTTCTACTTGATACATTTTCTCTTTATATACTTACTGGTACACATTCTTGTAGTACTGTATAAGCCCAAAAGAAGTAATTGTTTGTTGTTTCTATTAATAAGAAAACAATACATATATTTAAGGTATATAGACTATAGTCACTTTATTTATTCACAAAAACTATTCAATAAAATGTATACTGTTCTACCATAAGATCGTGATTTAAACACTGCTGTATAAATACATGATGAATAGGTCAATATGAATAAAATCACCAAAATAGCAAATAACATTTATATAAAAACACTCAAAAACCATCATAAAAATGTTAAAAATGGACATTGTCATAACCCAAGTGGCGGGGACCAGCAGTGCTAATACTGTATGGGGAAGCTGTGGGGAGGGTGGTAGGAGTCGTTGGTGATTAAGTTCAAGATGCTAGACAGAATAGTAAATGGGCATATTCGACTGGTTCATTTCATTGACTACAAATTTTCGTTGAGTATTATTTTCATTCGACTGGTTCATGAAATACTAGTAGACTTCGTTGACAACAAAAATTAAGGTAAACCAGAGTGCTTTAATCAGCGTTAAGTTTCACATGACCAAAACAAACATGGCCGATTGGTGAGTTCAGAAACAACCTTTGTGTTGTCATTCAAGGGAATTTAAATTTTTCAATAAATGGTAGGCCTAGGCCCTGCATATCTACAGCCTGTTTATGTATGCATGAGCATTTTCGACCCGCGAAGTATGGTACAATTTCTAGCCTAGAAAAGGTTATAAAGGATCACATAAATTTCAAAGTATACAGTGCAAGGAGAAAGCTAAAATAAGTAAATGAACACTATTTTAAACAATTGTATTGCCTTTCCTTTGCATTTATTTCTCACGTTAACAGTGGGTGGTTGTTTTCGAAAGCATTTACATTACCTTTTCCGATACTTTCACACTGATCGCACTAATGTTTTCCATGTTAGGTCACGTGACTGGCTGTAAACAAACATTGCCGAATCCCTCTATTCACTTATGATAATAATGAGGTGATTATTAACTAGGCCTAAAATTTCCAGGTGAGAGCAAAGCCTGGGGTGTCGGTCTAAGGGTACTTTTGCGCCAGGATGTTCCGCAACATCCCCAACAAGATCATAAGTGGGTATATGTAGACACTGCTCAAAATCTCTTGGAGGTCCTCCAGGGGGCTAAGCTAAAAAACTTCGAAACATTAGGTTTTTCAGAGACAATTTAATCGATTTTAGAGTCTACTAATACAGTATCTAAAAAATAGATATATATATATATACTTTTCTCCCCAATGGCACCACCCATTTTTCCATCCAAAATAAGCCCATCCCTAGCTTCAAAGGTTTGATCAACATCTTTGAATGTATAACGATCAAAGAGGAAGTAAATTGCATTTACTTCCTCTTAATAATGTCGGCTAGCCCTAAGCTATTGTTGAGGTCTAGGTACAAAATTGGACAGGCAGGCCTACATTTTATAAAGGTTTCCCTTCTTACCGAAATCACTGGTGGTTTGAAATCCTGAATAAACTGACACCATTGTTAGGTATATTTCTATAATCCCGTGAGTCGACTTTTATTCTTTCTCATGTGATGCGGAAATGTTTCATTCAATCAGGTGGCACAGAAATGTCGTTTGACCTACACACAAGGTCATTAGAAATATTTTGGTGGCGCTCTTAATACGTACACAATACGTACACCTACTGTGCATTAGTACTGTAGCAACCTGGAGGGTGCATGGAGTTGCTAGGGCTACCAACGTGGTCCAGAGGAAAAAACAGAAGCCACTGAGTAAGTGAAAATTAGCTCAACAGTTTATCCTTCTTATTTGTTTATTGCAAAAAGTGAATTGTATCATTAACACAAAAGAAACTGTATTTGCTAAAACCTCATATTTGACTGATGCCTATATCGTTGGGGATGTTTTTAGTTAGCACTCTTGGATCAACAGTATGGAGAATAGTAGCGTGGAATTGGCAGTCAAAAATTACACAATTGAATATGTTTAGAAAAGTATTGTAACCCAAATGGAATGAACCACTTTGGGGAATTATGTATTAATCATTAAATGTTATTCTTGCTATGAATAGCATGATATGCTATAGTGAACCACCAAACAGTGGGGGTTGGCTTGAAAAGAAAGATGTGCCTGGAGCAAACCAACTCCCAAAGCAAACCCATTCTAGTGAAGATTAAAGCTTGTGAATTACAGTCAACATTTGGTATTACTGGTCCCCTTTATTATTTAATATCTAGTTAGGCCATATTTATTTAATTGTTTGTCTCAAAGCTCCCATGCGCATTAGTAAATTCATGCACATTGTTTTTGCCTAAAGAAAGTAGACGTTCCTCATAACCCCCTTTATAGCCACCAAAATGTTATGTGTTGACACACTTAATTCTTAAGTGAAGAGAGCCCTGTAACAGACCTTTGAAACCCAGTTCAATAATTAAAAATATTTTTGTTAAAATAAAATTTAAACAAAAAACAGGAAAGCTTTGAGACAAACAATTAAATTAATATGGCCTTATTCTTGAACCCCTCCTTTCTAATTTATTTATTAATGATTTACCTTGTTTTTTCAATTACTCGCACTGCCTTATGTACATCGATTATCTAAAGCTTTTTCGGGTTGTCAGTTCCGAAGAGGATGCCTGAAATCTTCAGGATGATCTGGATGCTGTTATTCATTGGAGTAATTACTGGTGTATGGACCTTAATGTCAGTAAACGTAGATGTATATCTATTACTTGTAAATCTAAACTTATTAATTTTAATTATAATATCTTAAATGTATCATTCGAAAAATTTCTGGTCTATAGTGTCCTTGGTGTTTATATCGATAGTAAACTTTCTTTCTGTAACCATGTTTGTGTATTTAGGAGGGAATCTGGTGGTTACCCAATAAATTTCTTATAGACACTTTGTGATTCATATATTTCAGTATTACCTGTATTTTCCATTTTGGTGAGAGTAGAACTTAAACTACAACATTATTCTTTAAGTGCTTACATGGCTAATTTCGTCAAAAGCAGAGACACAAGCGAAATCCACAGCGAGGAATCTAAACACTGACCCCAAGGTTGAGAGCCCTAACCTCAACCCAATTATAAGCCTTATTTCTAGGATTCATTGACAACCATCACTCATCCCAAGTAATGGTTGGTAAAATAGGACTGCGGAGCAAACATTTATATTGCAGGTATCAAATTTATTAATTATAAGCTTAGAAAGTGGTGTTTTTACATATCATACTATTGGCTTCTTGTAATTAGTGTATAGTGTATGTTTTTGTTTTGTGAAATGGCAAAACCAGGATATTTACTTGATTTGAATTTATTCAGAAAATCACTTAATCTACTACAAACATCACTTAAAGTATTTAAGTTACTAATAAGCAAAATTATATTGAAAAATTAGACTTTTAAAAATGATTTTCCTAGATATCCATAAGCTTAAACCGATTGGGGTTCAAAATAAAATTTTGTTTGCAACAATAATATTTCTATACAACATACAAAACATAAAATTGCATATTTTAATTAGGTTAATGGAAATTAGACGAGAGACCTGAAAATAAAGTTGGACAATTGCAGCAACTAGGAAAGCTCATTGCGAGATCCCAAGGGATATCGTTATATATATCCTTATATATATATGTATATATATGTGTGTATGTGTGTATATATATGTGTGTATGTATATATGTATGTATGTGTGTACATATATATATATGTATGTATATATTTTAATATATATATATATATATATTTTTTAATTTGTAGTTAAGTTTTTGCTCTCTTTGTTATTTTCTGCTTTTAAAATGTTTTTGTAGATAAGAACTGAACCACTTTGGAAATCAGTACTATGTATTGAAAGTGTATATTCAGTATAAAGAAAGAATAAATAAATAAATAAATAAATAAATCCTGCTCCCACTTCAGCTACAAATGTATTCGGTTGGATTATACCAGCACCAAATAATTTCTCATTCACCTGTGAGCAAATGATGTGATTGGCAGATTTTGTCTGTAGGTCCTTTGTCACATGTTTTATTATAGCCAATCATAAAATACCTACTATATGTGATCATTTTTATGATAGTTTTGATTTTTATCACAAGTAAACAATTAAAATGGCTACATTTGAAGTTTACTGAAATTTTTAGCAGGGAGGTGTTTTAATTTATACAGCTTCCTATACTTTAATATTAGTGTAGAATAATTAACAATAAAATTTAATGTATATAAACTTCTTGGTATTTACTTAAAATAACAAATAAATCCTTACTGAGTCACGGGTCCCATTTGGGCTGGAGCTTATCCCCTGTTTCAAGGAGCAAGAAGTAGATGCTTCCTCTGAGTGTGATGCTAGTCCACCGCAGCAGTGACGTATCTAGGGGGGTCTCACGCACCCCCCCCCACAAAAAAGATGACTCGGGGGGACCCCCTCCAGTCACGCTCCCCAAAAAATCATGGTCAAGTAGTTAAAAATCACCTAAAATCACCATATTTTGCGAACTAGCACCCCTCATCTGATCATCGAGCCCTCCCCACTTCACCTTCGCGCAGTATGAAATATAAAACGCGCAAAAAAACCAAAAAGCAGAACTTTATTAAACTTAAGAAAGTGTAAGTTTGTTAAAAGCAATACAAATTAATTCTAGAAATTAAATGATTAAAATTGAAATGAAGATATACAGCATATTTAATTGTTTAAACAATTATAATTTACAATAAAAAACGAATAAATGTTAAATATCTAAAATTCATTAAATTCATTATAATTATATAGATGTAGTTCTTTGAATTAACAATTGACTGTATAATTCATTCAAGGATTTTTGTAGTGTCTATATCTGAAAATCAGTCTCGTAGGAAGTTGGTAACTTATAAGTCTCTTTAAATGAGGAATTCAATCATGTTTTCATTGAATTTTTGAAGGTTTTCCAGAACTTTTAACAGTAAATATTAAATTTGCACTTCAGATCCTTGCAGTTGTACATAGGCTAATTGAGACAACCCTGATATTCTAAATGATGGTTTAGTACATATTAAACATGTCTCAAACACAGACTGGCACGTTGATATTTATTAGATAAAACATATTGTTTTAACATGGAAAAAATGACATATTGTTTTAACATGGAAAAAATGAACCCAATCACACTGTAAAAATGTGGCCAAAGTCTTGACAACAGCTGACCGTTAGGTACATTCCTAAAATTATATAATGGTCACTAAATCCTGTTTCTATTGTACCAAAATCTGAGATAGTAGGCATGTGGTTACAAATTATGTGATCAATTATGCTACTAGTTGTACGAGTAATTCTTGTTGGTTTGTCAATAATTTGTTTACAGTTGAACATAGATAAAATGCTATTTATTTTCCTATACAAAGATGAATTTGTTTTTTTAAAATCAATATTTAAGTGTCCCATTATAATTATCTCATGTTAATTTGAGATAGAACTATTTCCATGTTATCACAAAAGTTATTGTCCCATGACTATCAGTAACACGTCACTGATGATTATGAATACAAGTTCTTAATTTGAAACAAAATAACTAATTGTATATAAAAATATATACAGTATTATATGTACTGTAAGGCAACAAAGATAAAGTAAACTACAGTACTATAAGGTTTATTTATGTATAACCTGGATAGGTCCATAATTTTAAACATTTTAATATGTATTAACTACTGTATATAAAATTTAATTGCAAAACAATAATTTGTATATATTAATTTTAATATACAGTTCAACTTGTTTGAAGTCGAATGCATAATTCCATTGTTCTACTTAGATAAACAACATGTAAAGTAATTTGGCATAATAAGATAGACTGGGGCAAGTTTAACTGTATACAGATTTTTTTAAATTATTTTAATTGACAAAATTGTAACAAATTATTTGTATATAAATGCAACAAAGAGCAAATATACAACCATGTTTACTTGCAAAATACAAACCTGTACAGCATTTATTATGTTAATAAAGAATAAATGGCAATCTGGTTATTAATTTTATTGTTCTAAAATATTTAAAAACGCCTATAGTCCGCCTATAGGTTCCTATAAGCCGCCTATAAGTTCCTATAGGCGGCCTATATGTTCCTATAGCCCACCTATAGCTTCCTATAGGTTCCTATAGTCCGCCTATAGGATCCTATAGGCCACCCATAGGATCCTATAGGAGCCTATAGGCTGCCTATTGGATCCTATAAGATCCTAAAGGATCCTATAGGACATTTTTGTTAGGGTATCCAGAGTTTTACATTTACTCACCAGTACCTATACTGAATCTGGAGTAAATCAATACCATTGTTGAACTATTTGTACTGCATTTATTGGAAAAATATCGGTATTGTAATTCATTCGCCCACTTGATCCAGAATCACTCGTGATGTTCAACCTCGTGATACGGAAGTAATTTTCCATTTTTTTTTGGCGGCGCTGTGCAATTCTGTTCGGTTTTCACATTGCTGGCTTTTACAATAAGATTTAGACATCTCAGCAAACAACAACGGTAGCGTAATTACTCTGGCTCCGATACCCTGTATGCAGAATTCAAAAGCCATCTTTGGTAAGCTGCATTCACTGAATGTGATCAACAGTTTACAATTCAACTGTCAAGGCATACCAGTTGTGTAACGACATGCCTTGGTAAGCTTAGGGTATGTTTTGTCTGGAAGGCACAATTTTAAATTGAAATCATGAAGTGTAAAAAATTAGCTCTTTTGACAAAT